AGTTAAATAATTTTGCAAAAGGTAAGAGCAATACGGTTGACAAGAACTTCATTTCAAGCAGCATATACAATGAAGGACAGAGAAGCTCTTAGTACAGCCTCAGATGATAATGCTCTATGCCTGTTTGGCTTTCACTTCAGAAGGAGAGTTGAACCTGAGCTTCAGACTTTAAACTAGGGCTCAAAGACAGGGGCAATGAGAATACTATACTATCAGAGATTGGTGAGTAATTTCTGAAATAGACTCGAAAAGTTAGCAACCAGAGTAATGAGAGCATTTGCCAATATAAATGCTGCTTATAATACATAGAGAAAGAGAACCGAGAGGATTGAAAGCAGTTGAAGAAAATCTAAATGTCATTCAGTTTGTGGAGGTTATTTCAGCAGTCTGTTATCAGAGACAAGAATACTGAAAAGAGCTACTCATCCTCATGGGTAGATACTCTTCAGAATCCATGGTATTCTGAAGTCCAGGTGATTCATAATTGACTCCATCATCTGGATGTGTAAACTAGTGAGTCTTAGGCAATATATATTTGTATATTGCTCTTGTTGCATTAATACTAATTAATTGTCACTTGTATAAATGGCAGTCAACTTTGGTAATAAAACATCTTTAGTTGACAAAAGTATCTTTTATCAGATGATGATCGGTAGAATATATGCTACATGAAGATGAGGAATTATTTTTGTTTTCTTCACTGATGTATTTCCAGATGCTAGAATAATGCCTAGCACACAGTAGATACTCAAGTAAATATTTCTTCAATTAACAAATAAATCTTCCATAGATCAATCTGCCATTGATTTAAAGGGCAATATATATCTCTTAGAATTATAGATGATATTAATGGAAATGGTATCAAGAATGTATAATGTGACTTCATCTCAGTGAATCTCCCTTTGTCACCACAAGGGCTAAACCTAAAGGCTGTTGGAAGATGATTGTTATAAAACAGTGAAATTTATGGTTGAAAAATCTCTACAGAAACTTTTTAAGAGCTCTCTCAGGGTGTTCTCCAAAAAATCCAGAGCTGACATTAATTTGTCATCTCATCTGGTCCAATTCACCTGGAGGAAAGATATTTACCTTCCATTTAGAAAGAAAAATAAAGACAAATTTGAACTTTTACTTGAATCTGTTGTCCTTGAACTGACCACATATCAGGTGACTTCATACCTGCCCCTGTATCAGAAACAAGAATTAGAATTATGGAGGATTAGGCCTGGAGCTAGGACCTTACTATTCTGGGGTGGTTTTGACCTTTTCCTAGATACTTGGCTTTGGGGAATTGCTGTCTTAACCACATGACACTCTAGTTCCTCTATCTGTAAACTACCACTTTCCCCAAGGAAGTTATGATAAAATGCCTACCTGACTACTTTATGAGGTTGTTTGGAAATTCTAGATAAGATGTGTTTGAGGTACTTTGCTAGTTAAACAGCTTTACACAAATAAAAATGGAAATTCTGAATACAGGTTAAGGAGGAATCAAACAGAATATACAAAAGTTATTCCACTTTTACAAAAATAATATTGATTTATGAAACTATGAACTTCTGAAGAAAGAATAAAGAAAGAATTAAAAATATCCTAAAACCAAGGGCAGCCAGACTTCTCATTGAGGAACCACACAAAAGAAGTCAATTTTTGCTGAATTGGCCAAGACATGGGATAGCGATAATCAAAAACAATGCGAGCAATGCCATGTTTTAAATTTGATCCAGATTTGATATAACCATACATAAGAAATGGCTTTACTGGAGTAAAATATATAGGGTCTTAAAGATGAAATCTAGATGTTAGGAGACATTAAATGTTGAGCTTTCAGCTACATTTCCGAGGAATCATCAGAACCATAAGGTAGAGAATGCAATAATTCTTTTGAGGCATTGCAGCTGCTGAAATGCAGACAGATGGAATTTATGCACTCTCTAGTATAATGTAGAAACAGTCTCACATAGGATAAACACTATTTCTTGAAAAATTCTTCTCAACCCTAGAGAGAAGATACTGTAGAGACTGGCTGGTAAAATCTTAGTGTTTTTTCGTTTTATATCTGGTTTCCTGTGTACCCTCTAAGAGTTTGTATCTGTAGCTGTAGGAATGAAATCCTGTGCTGAATCCTCTAAGACCATACAAAATATCAATATATTTCATATTTTGGCTGTTGAAGTCCATAGATGTAATTTGTATTGATATGGAAATCGCGAGATATAGTGGAAAACCAGAATTTTGTTGTTAATAATGTTCAGATTACACATGAAGTAGCATCATAAGAAACTTACCAAATTAACTAATACTTAATGGTCAGCAAATCAAAACTCTGATTTCCTTAATAGCATCAAAAAATAATCTGTTAATTGAACTTTTTTCCTTTGCTTTGTGGTGATACATCATGCTCTGCTGAGATTGAGGTGATGTGTTCCCACCAAATATTAAGAGCATTCTGAGTGCCAGCCTCTCTGCTGGGGCCCAGGAACCTGGGAGATGTGATAGACTTGGGATTCACAGCCTGGAGCATTCAGTCTGTACTTTTCTGTATTTCAATTTCTGAGTTAAAATGTTACATATTTCCTTGTTCCTTTTAGCTTGTCAACAAGATTTATCTCATTAAGGAATACAAGGTTCAAGGAATACATGGTGATAGTGAAAAGGCAACTGACCACGCTAGCTTTTGTGGAGGGAGGGAGACAAAAAGACACAGAGAATAATTTTTAAGGGTTGTGTTTATCTATTGTTACTCTGAATCAGGAACTCATGAAGAAAGAAGCTAGTGTTTCTTTTTTTTTTTTTTCTGATTCATAAAGTAAGACACAGTCATTATAAAAACATTTGTAAAATATAGAGTAAAAATACAATGAAGATAAAATTTACTTTTAATTTTAATACCAGGGATAACCACAGTAACCTTTGATATACTTCTTTCTAGGCCAAATCCTATTATGCTTTTTTAGAACTATATGGTGTTTTTCTACTTAAATTATCTTGAACTTTGTCCCAAGACATTAGGTATTTTCTATAATATTCTTTTCGATGGCTGTAATAGTATTTCTTCTTAGGAGGTGCCAAAATTTATTTTACCAGTCCCCAGCTGTTGCATGGTTGTTATTTCAGTTTCTTCATTATAACCTTGATGGTATAAATATCCTTAAAAATAAAAAAACTTGCATTTATTCATAATACTGTCTTTTGTACAAAGTCTAAGAAATAAGATTGCAAAGCCAAAGGTTATGCACGTTTAAAAGACGTTTGATAGACATTACCAGATATTTAAGTGTATTTTAACACCCATTTTGTTAAATTGACTTACCCTTTTATTTAAATAATTTCATTTGAAAAAATCTTTCTACCTTTTTATCTTTTTATCTGACATCTATTGTCTACAGTAATTTTGAAACAATTATTTGTTGAATTTCGAGAACAAAATGAGCACTGTTATACTAAAAACAAATACCAAAATGCAACCATTTTAAATAAAAGAATTAAATATTATTAGCTAATATTGTTTTATAATCTCCATGCAAAAATAGACTTTGATATTTTTAACTGGAATTTTTATTAAAGCAAGTAAATATATTTCAAATACAGGGGCATGGAGTCTCTATGCCTGTGTGGAACACACTTCAATTGACTATTTTTACTATAACTTTCTCTGTGCAACATTGAGTAGCATTTTAAAAGGTAAGGTTTTTTTTTTTTTTTTAATGTTTGTTCAATAAATAGCACTTCACTTTGAAGTAATTTTCAGCTACTAAGAAAAATACTCCTATTTGGTATTTTCCCCACAGAAGCTGCACAACTGATGAGGCTACCCTCTGGTACTCTGGGCTTGGGTGCCTGTCTCTCTGCAAGCCCCCTGGAGAATTTTCTTTTGCTTTCATCATGCAAACAGTCTTTGTATTATTCCCGACTAATTTCAAAATTAAGGTTCATGAGGGCCAAAGAAAAACTGGTCATGATAACACAAGGAACTCAGAAACAAATCTGTTGAATGACAAGAAAAGTTTTTCTTTCTGTTCTTTATTCATCCTAATTTTAAAAGGAAACATACACATACACACACACACACACACCCCAAAATCCTTATTCTGACATTGTTTTTCTGTCTCCTTCTTTTCAGCGCTCTGTGGAGGGGGCGAGAGCTTCCTGTGTGGCAGTGGAACGTGCATCCCCAGGACACTGCTGTGTAACGGCTACAACGACTGTGACGACTGGAGCGATGAGGCTCACTGCAGTATGTGATGGGCTGTTGGGGGCCTGGGCGGGTGGGGCTCTGCTCAGGGCCAGAAACCACCGCCATTCCATGGTCGAGTCCTGACAACCGTCTGCACTTGTGTAGAATGCTCTTAGTTTGCCTTGCTAAAGTGAGCAAACACGTTTATCTTCTCCCTGTGTGACAGCAGTGTGTTTGCACACCTTTCAAAGGCGTGATTTTAGTAGGAGCTCAACAGCTAGATGCTGCATTGAAACAGATCAGAGACTAAAGTGTTTTTACATAAAATATCCTAAAATTGAGAGGCGGCTTTTCATTTATTTTGTTTGGGTGAGGATTTTTGTTTTTATTTTTAAAGCTTTATGAGTATAAAGGTCAACTTTCTTGAAAAGGACATTTTTAATAGGAAAAATATTTTACCCTCATGATTCTTAACTTTTATGACACAGCAGATGTGAAGCCTGTTGTTTGTTTATGGTTCCTCTAAATCTGAATATAGTCAATTGTTTTAAATCCATGGATTGGTGGATTTGGTCTTAAATACCCTCAATTTACTTACCAGTGATTTGATTAGTTATTTCAACTGAATCGGTTGGTGGTTTGTCCATTATTGTATTAGCCTGCTTGAACAGACTTCGTGACTTAGGGAGCAGAAATTTATTTTTCACAGTTCTGGAGGCTGGAAAGTCCAAGATCAAGGTCCAACAGTTTTCAGTTTCTGGTGAGAATTTTCTTCCTGGCTTGTAGGCAGCAGTGCTCTTCCTGTGTGCTCACATGACCTATTTAGAGAAAGAGAGGGAGAGTCAGCAAGAGAAAAGGGAAAATGGAGAGAAAGGGAGTTCAAGTGAGAGAGGGATAAAGATAGAATAGATTTTTTCTTTTGCTTCTGTGGACTGTGAGCCTCTGGGGTCGGTAAAGGATCTCAGGATGGATGGGAGAAAACTTGCTCCAAAAGCCATTGACTGGGCAGCTACTGGGAAGATCATACTCCCAAACTGGAAGGTTATTGCTAACTCCCTGAAATCCTGGAATGAGACACTCACCTCCAGGTTGGTTACTCCACCTGAGAATCCACCTGCTATCGACTGGGCTTAATGCAAGGCCAGTGTAGCGAAGGCTGGCTTGGTAGATGACTTTGAGAAAAAGTTTAATGCCCTAAAGTTTCCTGTGCCAGAGGATAGATGTAGTGTTTGGTGGATACTGAAAAAGAACATGTGAAAAGTTGTGCCGAATTTTTGTCTCTCTCTAAGACCAGGGAACTAGCCTTATTGGATTAGGGCCTCATCCTTATGACTTCTTTCAACTGACATGACCTATTTGCAGGCCCTGACTCCAAATATAGTCATATCAGAGGTTAGGGCTTCAACATGAACATTGGGAGGACACAAACATCAGTCCATAACAAATATATGTTCAGATTTCAAGTTGTTTTGTATTTATGCAATAGATAAAAAGGAAAAATTGGCCTCAAGAATATGTTGTAGGATCTGCATCCAAAACAGAACCTTATGCAATTGTGTTCTAATTGTTTTTTAATAGTTACGTGACCAGCAATAGTTACTATAAGAAAAGCTGTGTTTTACTGCCTGTAGAAGTTGCCAAGGCTTTCTAAGAGCTCATGATTGCTAGCCACATTTGAGATTCCTCTGGTCGGTTTGCCAGGTAGACCAACTTTTCTTCCATCTGAAGGGTTAGAATGCTTACTTGTCATAACTTTTGAAAGGCAGTATATCATAGTAATAATTCAGGTCAGTGTTTCCCAAACTGGTGTTTCACAGTACTCTAGTGTTGCAAAATGCTTAAGGAAAAAATAAGTTTGAGAAATGCTGACTGTCAGAGCTACTTCTTAGATAGTTTCAGTACATATTTGTGTCTTAAAGTTTCTAAGAAATGCTATAGTTAAAAAAAGACAGTAATTTTGCTTAACTTGGTATTTCCTCAAAATTATTTGTTCATATACACCTTCACCTTTATTTACATATTTATTTATTCATTCATGGATTTTCTATTTTGCAGAATATCTAGCATCCTATAGAACTTCAGTTGTGTCACCCATATTTTCAGAAACATTTTTCACTAAGATTTTTTTTGTAATTTGTAATTCTCTCTTTGGGAAAACCTATGGCAGATGGTTTTACATGGAAAACATTTTTATAGGATGTATATTTATATTAGGAGAAAATATTGTGCAAAGCACCCACACTAAGGAATTTTAAAATATGTCCAATTTGTGGGAATTGTGGTGGAATCTCTTGTTCCTCTCCCAGTTATGGCCGATGTTGTGGCATCACTCCAGTTCTGCACGTGCCTCTGCCCAGGTGGTGGGCCAACACCGGCTTCCTCATTATGTCCCTCCATTGCACGAAGCATTGCACTTTCAACAGTAAGAGCTTTGTGCTGCGTTTGTTGAAATGGAATGTGAAGCACTAGATTTGAATACTGTCTTGAATGGGTCCAAATCCAATGCTATTTTCCTTGAACTGTGACTTGCCTTTATCCACAAAAATTCAGATTTTGTGAATGACTATGTTCTGATCATCCATATGACAGGACAATGTTTATTTTGTATCCTCTACTATGCTTGGGAAATAATTGTCTGTTACAGCGGCTCTTTGGGTATCTGGGGCTCCTTCCTGACTTTCTCCCCCAACTAATTTTGTTGTGCTTATCAGTCTCTTCCTAAGTATTGGTAGAAGGAACAGACTTCCAACCACCTGGAACAATTTTAGCGATATAGTGAAGATTTTTGAAAATTAGGAAAAGTTTTCTTTCGAAAATTCCTAGCCCTATGACATTAGGCAGACGACTTCTCCATCCCTGGTTTTCCTTGCCATCAAGCCTGGCTGAACAGCAGCACTTCCAGGAAGCCTCAAATGTAGGGATGCTAATTCAGGTGGTTTCCAAAAAGATGTTTCCAGGGAGGCAAATAAATACTTCCATCAAAATATTTTCATCAAAAAAATAATAAAAAGAAGTCTATGGCCATGCCACCCTGAACGAGTCCGATCTTGTCCGATCTCAGAAGCTAAGCAGGTTTGAGCCTGATTAGTACTTGGATGGGAGACCACCTAGGAAGACCAGGTGCTATAGGCGTAAAAAATAAAAAAATAAATAATAATAAAAAATAATAAAAAGAAAAACATTTCATTCCACACTAAAGGAAGGAAGAAGGAAGAAGCTTCAGATGTCTGGGATTTTTACTTCTGTTTACTGGCAATCTGCTCATGCTGCACCAGTGGAACTATTAATATTCTTGAATTTCTGTTATGTGTGAAGCATGTTCTGGATACTTAGTAAATATAAAGACTGTTAAGACACGATTTCTTTCTTTATGAGGCTTTTAGTCTAATCAGGGAAATGACATATAAACATAGAGATCATTGAACATGGCATTTTAAAAAAGTGTAGTAGGAGAGATGTCACTGGTAGGTCCATGAGCTGGGAAGAGGGCAGAGTCACTAGGAGTGGGATTGATGTAGAGAAAACTGATGGAAAATATGGGATTAAAACTAGGGCTTGGACTGAAGTGATGTTTGGATACCCTGGCAGAGTGGTTCTCAGTCGGGACACTTTTGCCTCCCGGGGGACATTTTTCAATGTATGGAGACATATTTGATTGTCGTATTTGATCTGTGGGGATCAGGGGCAGTGCTACCGGCATTAGTGATTTGAGGCCAGGGATGCTGCTAAACATCTTACAGTGTACAGGTTAGTCCCTCCCACAACAAAGAATTACACCGTCCAAACTGTCAGCACTACTGCTTTTGAGAAATGCTCCTTTAGGGCTAGAAGTTAACAGTCGAAAGAATGTAGGGAGGCAAGAAGCCTGGCTTCATTTCATAGCTCTGCTATTAAAGAGCTGGGCAACTATGGGCAAAGCATTGAAACTCTCTGGTCATCTTAAAATGAGGGGATTTATGGGTAGCAATTGAACACTCATATTTGAATCTTGAATTGAGGCAACACATTTGTGTTTATAGACTCATAGAGACTGAGCAAATTAAGTGAAACCCTAGATAAAAGGTTTTCTGTTCCTTAGGTTTCGCCCTTAATTTAATGATAATTTTAAGAAACAGCAGTTTATAGTGTGAGATGCCAAACTGAAATAAATATTAACATGCATATACTTCAGAAGTAACATTTTATATCAAGGTCTCATGAAGAAAAAAGACCTGTATCTAGAAAAACTTCACCTTCGGTCATGCAAAATTATGCTTGTGTTGAGCAAGAAAATCGCAGCAAGTAGCTTTTGAAATTTTTGATTTGTTGGCCCCAAATTGTGCTGACAACATTTCTTTTCAGTTCAAATAAACATTTATTCCAATAAAAGGAGTCACTGTGATCTTTGCTATTTGCTGTGTATTTCTGGCTGTGCAGTGCCTTTGGTTAAGGTTTTGTGTGTTTACTGGTCACACAGTCTTTAGGGAGCTAATGAGTTGTTTTTCAAATGCAGCTAATTTTGTCTCTAACCTCTGAGAATGGCTTCTAACCAAATAAGCCATAATAGTGGAAAGTTGAACCTGTACCTGTGTGAATAATGAGGAATTTTCGTTAATGTGTGAGTCATCTTCATTACGAACTCATTTAATGAATGACAACATTAATTTAAAAATATTTCCAGTGAGGTATCTTAGTATGAATTAGTGGGGATTTTAGAGTGACCTCACAGAGGACATGTGAATGTTTGGAAGTTTTTATGTGTTCTCAGGTTAATCAGATTCTGAAAGGCATGTTTGATTCCCCAATTCTACAGTCAATAAATAAATAAATAAATAAATAAATAAATAAATAAATAAATAAAGTGTATAGCTTAAGAAAATTAGTCCATATGATTTTAAATCTGCCACCTCTCCATCCCACCCTAACCTTTGGGAAATGCAAGTACTTTTGCACTAATGGTCAGGTTGAGAACTCTGATTTTTGTTGATTCTAGCATACTGCTTCAAAACTTCCTGTAGGATTAATGTACACTGAAATAAAACAAAACAAAAATCAAATAGATCGTTTATAACTTCCCAAGGAAATGTAAATATCTTGATACACAAATTCCCTGACTCTGCTCAGCAGGCTAGAGCACCAATGTCATCGTAACTCTTTTTCACTCAGCTCACATGTGCGCAGTAGTCCCAGCCAGCAGTAGGGTGCAGGGCGGGGAGTTAGTGCCCTCTGCTGAACAGAAAAAAATAGTACTGTCGAGGTGAAAACTAGGACCTCTTTTTAGTTCTTATATTTTTTTTTCCCTTATGATGGTCATTCTTGTTCGAAAATTGAACAGCCTCGGGGAAATTTTAAAAAGTACTTACAAGTTTCTGCATGTGCATAAGTGTGACTATATGTGTGTGTGTTGTGTTTGTGTGTGTGTACATACAGGCACGCTTAATGAAGGTGCTGAACAGATGATCTCTAAGGCCCATTTCATTTTTAAAATGATGTGATTCTAAAAGTATTTAAGTAACCTCTTTTTAGAAGAGTAGGACCAGTTGCATGAATACAGGCTTCTGCCTGAAGAGCAATAATCGGCTGGAATTCAAAAGACTTATTTCTCACTTCTTTCCTTTGTTCTTGCTAGTCCCTCTACCTGGAGCATGGTGAAGTTTTCATTCCATCCATACTACCAAAGTTCTGCCCATCTTCCATGATCCCTCTCCAGATCTAAGAATCTATTTTTGCACTTAATTCATTTTAAATAAGGGAAAAGATAATACATTTAAGAAATCTAGTTTCTATTCAATTGAGGTTTTTTACATATATTAATTTTAAACATTTTTACATCTTTATTGAGGTATAATTTACATACCAAAATTTACTCACTGACTTTTAATAAATTTATAGAGTTGGGCAACCGTGACCACAATCCACTTCTAGAACTTTTCATCTCCCCCCAAATTTCTCTCCCACATATTTCCAACCAGTTCCCAGATAACTACATCTACCTTTCTAGCTAACCACTGCTATGATTTCTGTCTCTATAAGTTTGCCTTTTGGGGGAATTTCGTAAGTGGGTCACCCAATATGTAGCCTTTGTATTTGGTTTCTCACTTAGCGCAATGTTTTTGAGTTTCATCTATGTTGTCACATGTATCAGTAGTTCGATACTTTTAATTGCCGAATAGTAGTCTATTATGTGAGTATACTACATTTTGCTTATCCATTTGCCAGTTGTTGAGTGTCTGGATTGTTTCTAGTTTCTGGCTACTGCGAATAATGCTGCTGTGAACATTCACATACAAGTCTCTGTGTAGATATGTGTTTCATTTCTCCTGGGTAAATTTCTAAGAGTGGAATTCATGAATCATGTGGTAAGGTTATGGTTAACTTTATAAGAAACTGCCAAACTGCTTTCCAAGGTGGTGTTATTATTTTGTATCCCGACCAGCAATGCATGAGCTCCAGTTTCTCAAAATCTTTGCCAATACTTGTATTCTCTGTTTTTTTTTATTGTAGCCATTTTGGGGGTATATAACAGTATCTTACTGTGGTTTTAATATGGTTTTCCTTAACGACTAATTATACTGAGCACCTTTTCATGGACTTATTAGCCGTTTGTATGCATTCTGTGAAGACTTTCTATTTAAGTCTTTTATCTATGAGTAATTGGGTTTCCAAAATTATTATTGAGTGTAAGAGTTCTATATATACTCTGGATATAAGTCTTTTATCAGATACATGATTTGCAAGTATTTTTTTTCCAGTATATGCCTTGTCTTATTTTCTTAATAGTATTTTTAGAAGCGCAAATATTTTTAACTTTGTGAGGTCCATTGATTAATTTTTTCTTTCATGGCTTGTGCTTTTGTTGTCATATCTGGGAATTCTTTGCCTAACCCAAGGTCACAAAGATATTTTTCCCTTATTTTTTCTTCTAGAAGCTTTATAATTTTGGTTCTTATACTTGTCTATGATCCATTTTGAGATAATTTTTGTGTATGTTTGGAGGTAAAAGTCAGAGTTCAGTTTTGCACATTTGAAATCCAATTGTCCCATCACCACTTGTTGAAGAGCATACTTTTCCCATTAAATTGCCTGGACATCTTATGCATTATTTTATTAATCTCTTCTTCCAATATCTTTTAAGTAACCGATCATATCTTAATTTCACAGAGCAGTTCACAGACTCATAGATTTTAACTAACACACTCAAATTCCCATAGCTAGTAAATGGCAGAACCAGGATAAGAGTTCTGGTTTGCCCAAGTACAAGACTTATCTTCTTATTAAAATTTCCTTGCAAGTTTTTTATTCCAACATTAAACCATAAACTTCCTGAGGTTCCATATCACTTATTCTTATCTTGCCACCACAACCTAGGACAATAGTTGCTTATTTAAGGGTCATGTTATTAAACACTCAATTGACTTAAATGATAATGTTTGTGTGAAAGTAAATAATGACTCTATAATATAAATAATTTTTTCTCTCAGTTAAATTTATGCTTATCATTGACAATACTAGACTTTCATTATAAAAAAGACATTTCTAGAAAATAACTACTCACCATCTATTAAAATCATTGATTCTTTATGAACATGAACTTCATTAGGAACTTTAATGAATTAAGAATGTCTTTTCTCATATTTGACTATAAAGGAGCTTTCAGGTGACATAGAGTAAAAGTCAGATAAAGACTTAGAAAGTGATAAAAGCTTTGGCTTGGGAGCCAGTGTGTCCTAGTACTGGTTCTGCAGTAACTTGTTATGTGACCTTGAGCAAGTCATTGCATCTCTCTACACCAGTTTCTTCACCTGTAAAACAATAGACGCGGACCAGGTTATCATTATGGTTTCTCTCTATCGATATACTTTTGTTAAATAAAGTGTTACTATAACGCCCTGTTCCGTTCTAATGACACACAAGTGGCTTCTCTCATTTGCAGATTGCAGTGAAAATCTATTTCACTGTCACACAGGCAAGTGTCTTAATTATAGCCTTGTGTGTGATGGATATGATGACTGTGGGGACCTGAGTGATGAGCAAAACTGTGGTAAGCAGCATTGTTTTCCTAAATGTTTTCATTTAAAATCACAGAAATTTATAATCTAGAACTTATAGCTTGTTTGTTAATGTAATTAGCAGGTTAAATTACAAAATGATTGGCTTCTTACTTTTTAGAAAATGGAAGTTTTTTCAATTACTAGTCTTAACCATGTTTAATGTGTAAATGTAATACTTTTTACATAAACAGTCATACTAAGGACACGCTAAAGAATTGGAGTGAAAGATAAGTACAGGTTGTCAATATGTTAATATTTTCTCTCTGCAAATGTTCTGTTTCTTCCCTGCTTCTTCTGGTCGCTCATGTTTAGATTTTGAGCACTTGAGCAAAACTTTGCAGACAGATATATTGTCTGCATCTTGATCCCCTTATTAAATGTAACCAAAATCCCTCCTTTATTACCAAGTGATACAGAGATGACTTCTGTAGTAGTGACACGTAGGTTTAAGGTGACACGTTTATCTGATGTACAAAGCTGATCTTATCTTTTAAGAACGAACCTATCTTATAAAGAGTCATGTTCAACTCTGAATGCCATCCTCTTGCTTATTTACCTTTTTGACTTTGAGATTAGCATTAAGATATTTAGGTAAGACATTATTGTGTAGCATAGGAACTTTGTAATACGAATGAAAGGATAAGCTGGGATGATGAGGGGCACTGGACAAATGATGTAAGATAGTATTTAGCATTAGAGAACATCAAAAGGAATGTTGGCAAAGCATCAGTAGTATGATTGAGGAACGCTCCAGAGCGGCAAGTGTCAGAAACCATGATAAAGTTGTCACGAATACGTCAAATCAGCTACCTACCTTGTGAAATCAAAATCAGAGTTCTGTTTATTTGAGCCAGTGTAAAAATCACCAATTTTTCATAAGGAAAGAAAACAATGATGAAACAAAACAAAAAACAACAACAAGAACAAACTATGGGTCTTGAGAAAGCTGGGCAGTTCTTTTTCATCTGAAAAACAGGTAGGTTATGGTGATGGTGGTTAGTGGGCCACAGGCTTGGGTGGGAGGTGAAATGTGCCAGACTCATCATAGAAAAGTTGTTGAAGGTGTGGGAACAATTGGAACAGACTCTTTTCAATTAGAATCATGAGCCAGACAGGTCTAAGTGTTTGTCATGCTGGTTCTCCACATCCTCAGGGACTTTTTCTTTTGTCCAGATTGCAATCTCACAAAAGAGCATCGCTGCGGAGATGGACGCTGCATTATGATGGAGTGGGTGTGTGACGGTGACCATGACTGTGTGGATAAGTCTGACGAGGTCAATTGCTGTGAGTGCCCTGAGGATTTTTATTTTGCTCCCCCTCCCATTTCTTGCTTGTTTAAATCAATATACTCAAGGTTCACTAAAACATTGAAAGGGAAAGATTTTTATGCTTTGGCCATCACCTAGAAAGATAATTGAGTGGTGCGAGGACAATAACAATGTCATGTATTTGATTTCCACATGTTTCTGACTAGAACTCTAAGCTTCATTTGGCCAGTCTGGCCAAGCAGGTGTCTATTTTCTCCCTCCTTGTTCCCCACGTCTCCTTTCTGCATCTGTAATTTTGTCAAAGGGGATGTTCTTGTCACAAAGGCTGGGGGACTTTTTGTTTGCGAACAATATATGAATGGTTTACCTTCGTAGCAGGAGCCTCCAAACATGTTCTCTGACACCATTTGTGGGAGAACATGGGAAGAATTTCCAGACAGAAGAGATCTTTTAATGTTTATAGACTTAAACAAAGAATGTGACAATAATTACAATTTTATAGCTTATTATATTCTGAGTGAGTGAACAGTCTTCAGGTAGCTGTTACACTATCTAGGGAATAATAAAATGATTGAATAGAAGCAGCTAGGTGTTAAAAGAGAGTAATAGTAACCTGAAAGAGTTCACATGATGTATTTTATGCATTTGAATAAATTAAACTTTTAATGCCATCTTTCACTGTTCAATAAAAGTAGACAAAGTTGATACGTAAGACACTGATAATATAATTTGCCTATAATTTGAGGCAAAAATAGAAATGCAGTTTGTATGTTTTTTATTTTGACTTAAGAAAAGTCATATAAATTAACAAATGCAATGCCCGGCTTTCTCCTTCCCTGAATTGAATTTGAACTGGAGTATCTCCTGAGTCCTTGCTTAGTGGAACACAGCTGACCAGAGCAAACCATATCTTGACTATCATCTTGGGAAAGGGAGGACATGATGCTCAAGTATAATGATTCTGGTGTTAAACCTTGATCCAAGAACAGGGAGTTGCAATGTTCAACAGTAATTCATTGAAGGCTGAGGTCATATGATACATGGTTTCTGATGCTCTAAAGGGCAGGAGGGATAGAATTTAGACAATTTGTGAGAATTGGAAGGTTAAAGGCCACTAGACCATCCCTTTCCAAGGTCAGATGTCATAGCAAGTTTGAAATAAAGTGTTCATTTTGTGTTAGCTACTGTGCAAGTTCTTTCATTTGTATCATTTCATTGGCTCATTAGGTCAGGTTGCATGGAATTAAATGCTCGGGCTAGGAGTCAGAGAAATGTGCCTGCACGTTCTGGCCCTGCTTTTTAATAGCCATGTGACTTTAATAGCCGTGAGACACCAATCAACTCTCTAAGTTTCAGGTTCTTTATTCTTAACCAGGTTTGTAATATCTACTTTGCAAGTTTGTTATGAGGATATGAGATTATATACATAATACTTTCAGCACAGTTATTACCATATAGTAAGCCTTTACTAAATTGTGCCTTTTATTTTAGTATTATCACTACCTCCATCATTACTACTATCTCCCATCCTGAAGTTATCAAAAAAAAATGTTAATTTTCAGTAAATGCTATTTAATAAGGCATGAGAAATTTTAGAAAGAAAACTTTCCATTTCAAAAACACTTGGAATTTAAAAAATCAATGATACATTCGTTTCTTCACGCAGAGCATTCAGGTTTTCAGGATACTTCACTTCTGGGTGATGCCAGATAAACCGGAACCATTTATATGATCTGCAGACTGAAAGAAGTACTAATAAATAACATGAAAATCATTTGTGCTTTCTCTAGCCTGCCACAGCCAGGGTCTGATGGAATGCGGAAATGGACAGTGCATCCCCAGCTCTTTCCAGTGTGACGGAGACGAGGACTGTAAGGACAGAAGTGACGAGGAAGGCTGCAGTGGCAGTGAGTGTGCGCTACAGCCCTGAAACGTTCCTGGTTGGTGGGCCTTTCCTTGGCAACGAAGCAAAAGTTGGAAGTTGCCAAATGCTTAAACAGGACTCCCATACAGATCATTCCAGGTTGCCTAACACAGTGGTCCTCACGGCACTGGTGAGCCAGAAAACCCTCTCTTGTCATAAATACAATTCTCAAGCAACTTATACTGAAAAATCACTCCTAACTGTGAAGAGTAGAGGTTAAACACTTAATCGGCGTGGAAGGATTCAGTTAACTGCTTGATGGGGGAAGGCAACACCATAATAAAGAGAAAAGTTCAGAATGTAATATTTGATTTAATTAGATTAGATTCCAATGAGAAGAAATTGGTTTCTGAAATTAAGTGTAACAGCTTCCTAAAATAACTATGTGTAGAGAAGAGGCTTATGCCTCACATTACCAAGCAATGTACTTAAATTGCTGTTCATAATGATATTCCTAATTAGAGCATAAACTAGCATCCTTTTTTTCATTTAATGCTCAGTGCCTAGCTTGTCACATGGGAGGCACTTTATATGTACTGAAATAACGACTGCATGTTGTCTTTAAAAAAATTTCTTTAAGAGACTAAACTCATAGAAATTAGCCAGGCTTACCTTGCAAAAACGGTTTAACTCTGCTGACCAAAAAAAAAAAAAAAGAAAAGAAAAGAAAAAAAGAAAAAGAAAAAGAAACAATAGAAACAGTGCCATCTCTTCTCTGCAAGATTATGGTATATTGCACATTAATGGTACTGGAAAGAAGAGTCCAGTATAATAAACATTGTCTTAGAATTATAGGTAAGAATGATGGTGTGTATACACATACTATCATTTATACGTAAAAATGCCTTACAAGATTTTCTAGATTCTAGATGATGGGTCTGAAAGTAATTGAGTGTAATGGAGGAGAACTAGAAATAGAATGGACAGTAATTTACGACTTTATCCATTTAATCTACAAATGACCAGGAAATCAATGGGAAAGGGAGTTTCCTCTCTACATACCTTAAGGAAAAGCCATTAGGCTGACATTACTGTTGTCATTCATTGGAAACAAGAAACCCAATTCTCAGGTCATCATAGCCAGGCCAATCATACTTTCCAAAGACATACAGAAAATGCGGATAACAGCTGCACCATGATAAAGTGTCTTTATTGTGTTGGTGTTGATGACCTACTTCTTATTAGAGAAAACATTTTCTTTTAGAGAGAAGACTAGAGTTGGAAAGTTTTTAAAATAATACCATTTACTATTTAAAATTTCAGGATCTTTATATTGGCCCACCCTCAAATTACTTAAATTTTATTTTGTAATCAAGTATACACACCCATCTAAATATAAAACACTTTGTTTTGTTTTGTTTTAGGATAGGTTGACTCATTTCTTCATTCCTACAGAATCCTTTTGGAATAACTGTATTGTATTTCGTTGCCAGGAAAATTAATCCATAAAGCACCTATTTAACATGTGTTCAATATTTTCAGAGAAATTGGAAAGAAATTAAAGTTATGTCATTCCTCAGCTACACCACACTTTCTCGATCCTAGTGTAAGGAATTTACATGGTGATGAAAATGAATGTGCTTTTCTCCCTTCTGTAGGTCAGACTCCATGTCAAGAAGGTGACCAAAGATGCCTCTACAATTCCTGCCTTGGTTCATGTGATGGTAGCTCTCTTTGTGACACCAACAACAGTCTGAATAACTGTAGTAAGTACAGCAGCTGACAAATGCAATCCTCATGTCAGGGTATGCATTCGGCTTTTTTCTTTTGCATTAACTTTAAAATGATGAAATCTGGAATCTCTCCAAATATATCTGTATCTATTTTCTTTTTCTGTTTTAAAGATTGCATGTGGTAGCAGAAAAGAAACAAAATGGTCTTAATTAACTGAAATCAGAAACAAACGTGTCATTATGAATGGACTATAAATCCACACTGCTTAATATCATTACCATTACTTTCAACGCAACATCAGCTCCTATATATTATTTTCTTGGCTCCATCTGCAGGCAGATGCTATCTTTCTTCCTTGTTAAAGCAGTTTCAAGGATGGAAACTTTATCCAAGAAGCAAACATGAAGTTCATCTAAATAGTCACATAGAACTCTGGCTGTTTTTTTAATAAAATTTATTTCACCTTTCCAGGAGCTTTGCTGATCTATAATGATCTTACAGCCATTATGTTAATGTGTTTCCGTGGAAACGTAACTACTCTAAACGGTGTGAACGGGGGCTCTCCATAAGTGGCTTTCAGGAGGAGGAGTTCTTAGGGGAAGATGGAATGGGAAGGCATAGCAGAGGGCTGTGTAGATTCTCATGGGAAATTGAAAATGAATCAGAAAAGCCCCAAAGACTTTTCTAGTAATGATTTTTTTTTTTGCTTCTGGGCTCTGCTTTCATATTCCACTCACTGCTTTCACCCTTTATGATGAAACTTGACCTCACCTTCAGCTTGGAGCTTGACATCTGAAAGCAGGTCCGTCAGCTTTCGGTCGGCAAGACTGGAAGCCAGGGAGTTGAAAGGCTGATGGGTTTGGGTCCTTGGGTTTGCTAAAGTTTTGGGGTCCTGGTTTTACTCAGTGGCCTTTTTGGGTCAATGTAGAGCTCATAGGGACTATCCCCGTAACCACTAGGGAGCCGCAAGGGGTGAAAACCGTGTACTGGGAAGGAATTGGAGGGAGGCAGCCAATTAAAAACCCAGAGTGACAGGACTTTTTATTTTCATGAGCACTTAATGACTGTTTGACTGAAAGCACAATACCCAGCCTTCCTCCACTTATCATATAAGAAAACAGTTCAGATAGGTATTAGTCTGACCACTAAGACCCACTGCCATTTTACTCACTCTGAACTAATTAAATGTGTATTTAAATAAATGTCTATGTTCTGGGTCCATTGTTTCACTTGCTTATCTCTCAACCTGCTCTGTAACTGCTTTAGAGTTATTTCTTTACCTTGAACTTGAAATGAGTAATTTTGAACAGTGACAGTGTCATCTCAAAGACATGTGTTCATTATTAAAGTTTTGGGGGTTGTCCGACATGAAATTTCACTTGCTGTTCAAAAATGTGAAAAGAGCATTGTTAACCCATGTCAAATTTGGGTGGAGAGTAACGGGATGTATGTTATCCTATTTTTCTATATTTAAAATATTTCAAAATTAAAAGAATTGAATGTTATCTTTCAAAAAAGAAGTGGTAGGAAAGGCACTAGATAGCTCTGGTTCATACATTCAACCAACATTTATAGCATGTGTACGATGTATACATGGGTGGGCACCAAGCACTTTAATGGTGAAGAAGGGAGGCGTGGTTCCAATCTCCCTGCAGACAGACAGCTTTTTAATGTAGGAGAACATACTGCCATCTTCCCATTCATATATACTACTTTGATTTTCTCTTTATATTCTTCAAATATACTCAGTTTCCCTAGTGCCTCATTGTCTTACCGGCTTCCTCATTCACCATAGATGTCCTTGCCAAGTTCTCTTCATATATTTTCAGCACTGACATCCCTTCTTCTGAATGACAGGCACCGCGCTAGTCACTGGTCCCCACTCCTGTGTTATTAAAAGCAGTGAATATGCCTAACTCCCAGTTGAGAGTAAAGATGTTATTCCTTCTTTTTCAAAGAGCTTTAGGATGGCAGGTGTGTGCTTGGTTTTCTGTAAAGATGGACAGGCAGCATCTCTTAGAAAAATCTCCATGTACTTGAAAATTTGATTAATTATTTGCATATCTTTACCACTAGAGAGATAATTATTACTTAGATTCTGAGGCACAACTTTCTTTGGCTCCCTGCCAGTGGAGAATATGAATTTGGAGAACGTGGATATTCTGTCCGTTAGAGTCAGCATCTCACTGGAGTTGTAGGGATTCTAGTCCTTGAAGTTACTGGTTCTAGTCATCCCATAAAATATTACATAGCTTTCTAATGGTCCCAGGTAACTCCAATGTGTATCCAAGATTGAGAATTATTGCTTTAGTGGCCTGTTCATGACCAGATTGCAAAGATATGTGACATCCCTGGAATTGGATATAAAATAGTCTTCATAGCATTCCATTTTTCAATGGAGAAGGTCCATGACTTATCTCAGATTCTCAGACATGCCTACAATTTAAAAAATGCCTAAAAACCACATCTCTGATGATATTGCGTACTTATAATCTTGAAGTATCACAGTATCACCACATCTACTCATAATCTAGAATTTTTAACATCTTTGCATCCTGGAGGCAAACGACAGACATATCCTCCTCTTTGCTATGGAGGTACTAATCCATCACTTCTGGTTTATAATATGCAATCTATAAAGCTGGAGAACCTGGTGGAAAGAGCAGCTTCGCATCTGTCTGCACCCTTGATCGCCATGGCTGTTTGAAGCCAGGTATGATTGTCAAGCCTCAAGGACTCCCCCAAGTTTCCCCTGGTGTTCCATCAACCTTTAGTTCTATGTGTTTACTCATGCATTTTTTTTTTTGCCTCCAAGATCCAGAAAGAAATGAATAGCTTTGCTCCTCAAATAATTTGCAATGGTTTATAAATTTCCTGTCCTTTTCTTTCAATCTCTAGTTAGAAGGAACAAATAGTATAGGGTCTGCTAAAAACACCGGATACCATAATGGGTGATGACTTCAGTCCTTGGGAGCAAGTAATAAATGAGTAGAATGATCTCTTTGTAAGAGCATTCTCAATTAGTAAGTGAAAAATAAAGTATTCAGTTAGAATATTACTATTTGGCAACACAATGAATGAATGGGTCAAAGCATTGAGCCATCTGCAGACATCACAAAAGGAGAGAAATTAGACACAATGTGCCTTCTGATGAGAGAACACCACAGCATCTCTATCTTGCCAATGGATGAGACCTGATCAACCCTCTGGATCTGGATTCAGCTACTGATATTCAGGAAATAGGGAGGATGGAGGAACGTGCTCACCTCACCAAAAGTGTGCAAGCAGAAAAATCCAGCATACTCTACAGATCAAATCCTTGGGTTCTTCAACAGTTCAACTGCAAGGAAAAATAAAGGGATGGAAAGGGAACCCAGATATTATAAGAGACTTAAAATACAAAACAAATTTTTAAAAATGAGCAAGATTGAAATATAGTGATCTGGAGGTGCTGCACATTTAGTTGATAAAACTATAAAGAAGAGCAATGAAGTGATAACTTTGAAACTCAGCAATTACTTTTGCGGGGAGAGGAGAAGGCTCATGTAAGACAGGGTATATGCAGAGGCATCCTGAATGCCTGGCAAAGGTCAGTGCTTAACCTGGGTGGAAGTTTACAAGGGTATTCACCTTAAAATAACTCATTAAACTATTAAAAATAATAATGTACATATATTGAATCATGTTAAACACAACTAATATGTTATATGTGAATTATAACTCAATAAAAATGATAGACAGATTTAGAGCTTGAGGCAAGGATAAATCTTAGAATAGTATATTTGCCAATGGACATTGAAAAGTGACATTTTTTATGTAAATGACCATCATTTAATACATGATTTCCATTAGCTTCAGAGTATTGCATCATGACAAGGATGTAACATCATTTAGTTAACAATCTTGTCTTTAGGTTGAGTTTAACAAATCTCGTTTCAGACTTTGGAAGGTGAGATATCATTAAGACTCCATCAGGATCGTTGTTTTTTAAACAGATATTATTGAATCTCATCTAGGTTCAGCATATTTTGCTAGGCACTGCGTCAAACTTCTATTGAAAACACTACTGTGACATTTGAACATCCTCACATGTTTGTGACATGATTGCCCTCTAGTGGCTATTGTAAACCAGGCTAGTGAGTGAGTCTCCAGATAAAAAGTTTATTGATATCATAAATCAGAGAACTTGAGGTTGTCAGATATCATGAGAATTTCTCTTGCTTAGCACTCTATGAAGAATGCCTTAGGAATGAATAAAACACAAGATTCAATCAACCATATCACATTCTATGAAGATCTCCCAAATAACATGTGATAACTTGATTCTTTCATCTCCCTTGGCTCTGAAACACTTAAGAGTTATGTCTTATTCCAAATCGAAAGCAATAAGTTCTCCACACATCAAAGAGAGAAAAATTATTTATGTGTTATGTTTATTGATCAACTAAATGAAATACACCAATAAAAAGTAAAACTTGGTAGGGCGGTAGAGGAAGAGAGATAAAGGAAAGTCATATGCAATAAAAAAAAGAAGACTGCATCAAAAATCTATGTGAATAATGTCATTTTTGTATAATTATAAGTATATTTTAAAAATTAGGAGAAATATACAATTAAACTGCATTTACTGACTTGAAAAATGGTCATAATTAAGCAACAAAAAGTTGAGTAATAACAGTACAATTCTGTTTTCACAGAGACAAACACACATCTCTGTCTATGCATGTAAATGCTCATGGGAATAAAGATGAGCAGTGAAAGTCATAAAAGGATTCAAACCCATCCGTTGACTTTAAAAGAAAGCGAGAGAACAGAAGTGGGAAGATGAGGAACTTTTTCTTTACGGATCTTTGTAATGTTTTTATTGTTTAGAGGCATATGCATTTTTAAAGTAATCTGAAGTCAAAATATGTAAATGTTCCTCTTTCACAAATTAAAATGGTAAACTTAACCAACCCCACACCTCCTCTCTTTCTCTTCCCTCCATCCTATACTCGCCCTGTACTCACCCTCAAGATTGTACTAACTTTATAGTGTTACGTCTTCCCCAGTAAACCGAGAGTCTTGTTACACTTTGTCCATAAGACTTTCCATCTGGCCATCAACCCTCCTTATCCACATAATCTCTGTGAAGCCCTCAGAGTCTTTAAATGGAGAAGTAGTCCTGGAGCTGTTTTAATATTTCACACCAATTCTTACTGCTAATCTATTTGCATGCATACCATTTCCTAGAAAAATAATTAAATTTAATTTGAATAATAACTCTTAATAAGGCCTGGAGTCTTCAGGCAGCCCAGGCTGTTCCACGAAGATACTTGCTCATTCACTCTCACGTCTGGGAAAGTGGCAGTGAGGAAACAGGGGGCCTTTCTCTTGCATTCCTCAAAACCTGCCCAAACCCAGTTTATCCTTGGAAGGCTTTGTAAGTCCCTCTTGCTCCATCTTGCCCCTCTGAGCTCCTAGCATTTGTCCAAAGATACTATCCTAGCCTGTTCATACTAGTACAGCTATCAGAACGTGTGCCTTTCTTCCTGTGAAGATTGTGGAGTATGTCTGTAGTAGAAACTTTATTTTTTATTATTTTTACATTTTAGGTGCCTAGGATAGTTCTGACACTTCCCCTCCAACCCCCCCCCCCGACCGCCTCTCCTTCTCCTCTTTTT